TTGCGTGGAGAATGAGACGCCTCAAGCTGTGGTGGCCAATGCACATTTTGCGTCAGTGTGGTTAGGCGGTTGTTTCTCAGGGCAAGCCGTTGCAGCGCATCCGGGAATACGCCCCCCTGCAGGCTGGAGATGTCGTTGAAGGAGAGGTCAAGCGTCGTGAGGGACGACGCTGTGTGGAACGCGGCATTGACAGCAGGGTCGTCATCAAATGCGATGGCGTTGCGCTGAAGGTACAGGGTCTTCAGCGAGGGTGGCCAGGTTTGGTTCGCCACGGATGAAATGGCGTTGTTGTCCAGCCGCAGCGTGAGCAGAGCTCGCGGCCAGACTTGGCTGGCGATGGACGTCAATCGATTGCTGCCGAGCGTGAGCAGGGTCAAAGTCGAGGGCCACGTCTGCTGTGCAATGCTGGTGATGCGGTTGGTGTCAAGGAGCAGAAGACGCAGCTCAAGAGGCCAGTTCACGCCATCCACGCTGGAGACTTTGTTGTCACGTAGGTTCAACACAGATAGCAAAGGCGGCCACTGTTGCGAGCTGACGTCGCTTAGAAGGTTCGAGCTGAGGCCCAGCTCCTTCAGGTTGGAAGGCCACTGAGTGCTTTCGAGCACGCTGATGTCGTTGGAAAACAGCGTGAGGTCCTCAAGGCCATTTGGAAGGGCGTCAGCGTTGAACCTCTGCAGATTGTTGTTTGCCAGGCCTAGTCGCTGCAAGGTTGTCGGCCACGACTGGCCTTCAACGGAGGTCAGCTGGTTCGAGTTAAAGTTGAGTTCCAGCAGCCCAGGCGGCCAGACTTGTGTGCCCAGCTTTGTGATGGCGTTGGACGACAAGAAGAGACGAGTCAGACCGCGCGGCCACAGCTGCCCCTCAATGTTGGGGATGAAGTTGTCACTCAGGAACAGGTGCTCCAAGCGCATCGGCCATGCCTGCCCAACAATGCTCCGGACTTTATTGCCGGACAAAGAGAGGCTACGCAGTGAGCCGGGCCAGTGTTGGCCCTCAATGCTGTCGATGTCGTTGTCACCGAGGTCAAGCTCCTCCAGCCCGCGTGGCCAGTAGCCCGTGGTGGTTGGCAGGTGTGCAATTGCGTTGTCACTCAGGCGCAGCTCTTTCAGGGTTGCCGGCCAGACCTGGGTGTCGATGCTGCTGATTTGCGTCGCGGCAAGCTGCAGAATCTCCAAGGTTGAGGGCCAGAGCTGCCCTTCAATTGACTTGAGCGGATTGTTATGCAGCCACAGGTCCGTCAATCGCGGTGGCCAGACTTGGCCTTGTATGGAGCTGATGTTGTTGCGCTGCAGCTCAAGGTCAACAAGTGTGGGTGGCCACTGCTGGTGTTGGATGCTGCTGATGGCATTGAAGCCGAGAGTCAGTGCGCGCAGCCGCGGAGGCCACACGTCTGGCCCAACTGGCAGCTGCGTGATGTTGTTCTGGTGCAGGAAGAGCGTCTCCAGACCACGTGGCCACACCTGATTGTCGATGCTGGTGATGGAGTTGAAGGCAAGCAGCAGGTTTCGCAGCGGCTTGGGCCAATAGCCCTGCCGTTGTGGCAAGGAGGTGATGCTATTGTTCACGAGCACGAGGCTTTCCAAGGTTTGTGGCCAATGCTGTTCGTCGATGGAGCCGATGGTGTTGTTGTGGAGGGTGAGGCGAATGAGACTTGGCGGCCATGCGCCGGGCCCAGCAGGCAGCCTTGTGATGCGATTGGTGTGAAGAAACAGCGTCACCAAGGACCGTGGCCACTGCTGCTTGCCAACGGCCGAGATCCCATTCTCGTGCAACTGCAGCTCCCGCAAGCCTTCAGGCCACCGCTGGTTGATGATGGAGGTGATGGCGTTCTGCTGCAGGCGAAGAATTTGTAGCGCCTTGGGCCACGCCTGCTGGTCGATCATCGAGATGTTGTTGGCGTTCAAGGCAAGCGTGGTGACGGTGTCTGGCCACGCCTGTCCGGTGATGTTCTGGATGTTGTTGTCAGAGAGCTGCAGCACCTTCACTGCCGGCGGCCAGGACTGGCTGCTGATGTCGGCGATGCTGTTGTGCTCGAGTCGCAGCATGGTCAGGTTGCGCGGCCACTGTTGCGTAGAGATGTTGCTGATGCCTGTGTAGTCAAGGAAGAGGGCGTCAAGCGCAGGTGGCCATGTCTGGCCGACAATGCCGTCGGGGCCCAGGGTGTTGTTGGAGAGGCCAAGCAGCGTGAGACCTGCTGGCCACGTCTGGTTGGAAATGCTGGTGATGTTGTTTCGGTCAAGGCCAAGCGTCACGAGCGATGGTGGCCACCGCTGGTTGCTGATGTCACTGATGTTGTTTCCGCTAAGCAACAGGACAGTGAGCCCCGAAGGGAAGACCTGCCCCGTGACGCTGGTGATGCTGTTGTTGGCAAGGAGGAGCTGGTTCAGGTTTGGTGGCCACCGCTGATTGTCGATGGTGGAGATGCGGTTCTCGTCCAGGAAGATGTCGCGCAACGTGTCGGGCCACTGCTGCAAGCCAAGGTGGGTGATGGCGTTGTCATGCAAGTAGAGATACTGGAGCGTTGGTGGCCACGACGCGTTGGTGGAAATGCTGGCGATGCGGTTATTGGAGAGGTACAGCACTTCAAGGGCGGCGGGCCACTTCTGAGACGCAATGCTGGCAATACGGTTGTGCCGCAGCCAGAGGCGGGTGATGGTCTCGGGCCAGGTTTGGTTGTCGAGATTGCTGATGTTGTTGGCCTGCAAGTCGAGCTCCCGGAGTGTTGGGGGCCACGCCTGTCCTGATATGTCGCTGATGTCATTGTGATTCAGCAGCAACAGGGTCAGTGTTGACGGCCACTGCACGCCTTGGATGCTGGTGAGGCAATTATCTCGCAGAGACAGCTCGATCATGTCCGCAGGCCATGACACGTTTTGGAGGCTCGTGATGGTGTTCCCGCTCAAGTCAAGGTTGCCACG